TGACAGTTTCATTGTGACACGTCGGCTCGAGCAATGAGGATGAGTGATTTTCAAACACCTCATAGTTCTCTTTTAACATCCCCACTTAGCATAAAAGCAGGGCTGGTCAGATGCCAAAAAAGTACAGCTGGTACTTACATTCTGAATCTTTCTATAGTGGTCAAAGTACTCACCAAGTTCCTGAATTTTACATTACAAGAGAACTGAAGTTTAGATTAAAGATGCAAGGCTGCACCAGGCAGCTGATATGATGCCAAACTATCAATATAAATGTGTTCCTGCTGGCAGCAGAGATTCCTCTGTGCCCAACCCGTACAGGCCAGTTTTTACATCCTCCAGTGCTGCCAATTGTAGTGTCACAGAAAGGCAATGAGAATATAAATAACAAATATACCCAACTTCAAAACCATGTGTAAACCGCAAACGAGACACCCAAATTTGTGAATGAGTAACATATTCACAACCCTTTGCAGTGTAATTACATTTAATGTCCAAACCCTGTATTCATTAGGAATAGAGTAGTTAATGGTTAAAACCCCTATCATGTTTTTTTTCTTTTTTTGCCATTGGTGTCCCATTGGTGAGTTTACCTTTAATTTCTGTGCAGTGGACACAACAGGAAGTGATATGAAATATCTCCAAAGGGAGGAAAATCACCTCTTAGGCCCCATTCACACCAGGGCAGGTGCGGATCAGCGTGGCTTCCGCGTGGTTTTTAAAAAGGCGGTTTTGAATTGCGTTTCAGAGCTGAAATGCAATTAAAAACTTCAAAAACGCACTGATCAGAAAGCTGTATGAAAACAGTGCTGATCAACGCGGAAAAAAAGCTAAGGGAGCAATTCGGGCGGGAGACGGTACGGATTGCGCGGACCCGCGGGGTCACATGAACGGCCCCCATAGCAATGTATGCGATTGTTCATGTCGGCGCATCCGAGCGGCCAAACTGCCACAGTGCGAGCGGGGCCTTAGTTGCGTCAGGTCACCAAGGGAGTAGCAGGGGAGCCCAGTAAAGGTGCATACAGGAGGGTTCCGGGGGTTGGTTTTTAAGCAACTTTATCATTTTAGGTTTTTTTGTGCTTCCAGGTCATCTACCACAATGCCTTGCGCCTAATGTCACATGCAGCTGGGCTCCAGACTGTAGGAGAGGCTGGCAAAGTATAGAGGTGGGCAGGGATGTGGGGAGAACATTAGATAGCAGAGATTGAGCTGTGAGGGAGTAGTGAAAAAAAACCCAGCCTACTTGTTTCTGAACACAGAGCTTCTGCATGTGTGACAACAATGGAAGATATTAGGAAGGCAGAAAAAAAGGTGGACAAAGGCATACAGGAAATGTATGTGAATGTGGTTCTCGGCATCTATTCAAAGATATTTACGGGGACTAAATGGACACAGAAATGTAAAGATACAGGGTGAGGGTTCTCTTTTAACCACTTGAAGACCGCGGTGTTTCACCCCCTTCCCATCCAGGCCATTTTTCAGTATTCAGCGCTGCAGTACTTTGACTGACGTTTATTCCGTCATGCAACGCTGTACTGAATGAATTTCATACCATTTTTTGGGGACAGATAGAGCTTTCTTTTGGTGGTATTTAATCACCACTGGGGTTTAAATTGTTTACTATATAACAAAAAAAGTACCCAAAATTTTGAAAAAAAAACATGTTTCCCTATAAAATGTTATGAAACATTTATTTTCACCCCAATTTGGTATAATATAAAAGACGGGGTCACGTCGGTTAAATAGACACTAAACACATCAACCTTTAAAATTGCGCGCACCCGCGAAATTGCAGAAAACGGCCGCAACCAAAATTGGCCATAGGCGAGGCTTTAAACGTTTTTATCGCTCATCAGTTTAGTGTTATCAGTGATTAGTGGCCCTAGAATTATTGCTCTCACTCGGACGTTCGCGGCAATATGTAACATGTGCTGCATAATGGGTGCAATCGTCGTTTTCGTACATAGGCGCACCCGACGCATGTTTGCGTGTGTATGTGGGGGGGGGGGGGAATTTAAAACATTTTTTGTGTTATTTTTTGTAATTATTATTTGTGAATATTTTTTTTAGCTTCATTATTTTGTTTAATGCTGTAATTTTGTTTTTTTTAACTTTTTTTTTTAGACTTAAAGTGATATTAAACCCTCAGATTTTTTAACATAAACCAATACTGTAATCCATGTTTGTTTCCCTTCTCTTTTCTGCTCTTTCTTTTAAATCTGTATCTGTTCTCATGCTGGGCAGAACTTCTGTTTTGCAGCAGAATGCCTTGTCTCAGGAATGGATACATGGTGTCTGTGTGTAGGTTTGCAACCTGAGCCAGCACTACAGGAAGAGGCACTCAGCTGCAAAGGGAAGTTCTCCCCAAGCATGAGAAGACATGAGGATTTAAAAGGAAGAGCAGCAAAGAGAAGGGAAACTACCATGGATTACAGTAAGGCACACATTACAGTATTGGTTTATGTTAAAAAAAATCTGAGGGTTTAATGTCACTTTAACTTTATTGCTATAATATAGGGGACTAAGAAATCCCCTATGTAATAGCCAGTTCACCAAACAGGTCCTCTTTATGGAGACATCAGGGGTCTCCAAGACCTCTGATGTTACCAAGGGAACCCCAGAGAAGCTGATGAAGCAGAGATCTGCTTCATCAGCTTCTCTCCTGTGTTCTGCACCGGAGAGTGACACTGAATGCATCACTTCCTGCATTCAGGGACAGGAAGAGAGATCGGGTAATGATCTCCCTTTGATCGTGCCGGTCCCAGCCGCACCGACCACAGCGGATCACGGACCGCCAGCGGCGACATAGATACGGGTGGGGGGAGGGGCCGCACACTCGCAGGCAATCGGGTGTCTCTAGAGACGCCTGATCACTTGTATGTAAACAGCCATCGCTGGCTGTTTACATGCTCACAGTTTTCCATCTCGTGTGCGCGCACACGAGAGGGGGAGGGGGCAGGACGTCTTAAGACGCCCTCCCGCTCCTAGCAGACTCCCGCCCGGCCGTTCACAAACAGCCATGGACAGAAGGTGGTTAAATGCTCAATATTTTTTTCCATAATGAATTTTTGCTAAAGCACATACAATCATCATGTTTCTGAACAGCTCCAACTCTCTCAGCTCAGCTTCCCTAAACTTCCTGCTTAGTACAAGATCACAAGGGAGCGCGCAGTCTCCAGCAGCTGCCCATCTACTAGCACCAAAGAAGGGAGGAGGAAGGAGCAGGAGACGGGCAGTGCCCCGCCTTGCTATGCTGGTGTGTGGAGACAGACAGCTTACTAGCACACACAACGGTGGCTCTATAGGACCAAATTTGGGTTCTCTTTTACCAGGGGTATCTTTTTTTGCATTTTCTTCACATGCGTTGCCTGAATTTGTGACTGGTTTACCTTTAGAGCTCGTTTCCACCAGCCCGTGCGCTCATCACACTGTCCTATGCCCGGAACGCAAGGGATCGCATACACAAAGTCTCCTTGCGTTCTGGTGCGGGAGGGGGAGTGGCAGTGCCATTTATATCAATGTCACTGCAGACCCGCCTGCATGGCAATCGGCCACACAGGACCATTTGTTTACCACAAGGCATTGCAGGGCAAGTATTACAACTGGAACGCAAGGCATTGAGGTGCCCTTGGACATGTAGTTTATTTTTTTTTATTTCCACACCCCTGTATATGAGAATATATTTTTATATATGAGGAAACAAAAAATATGAGATATATACATATAGTATATATACACATAGATACGTAGGTGCGTGTGTGCCTGCAGGAGTGGCAGTGCTGGTGGAGGGAACGGTGCTGTCTGCACCGGCCCATTAATAATATTAATTGTTCCCCCCTATCGAATCTGCCACTGGCCCTGCCGGCGGTGCCCAGGGTACATGCCTCCCCAAGCTTCAGGACTGCCCCCAACCACCCCCGTGCCTCCCCTTCCCCCACACTGAGCCACTATTACCTGGCTTCTCCCCACTTTGTCCGTGTCCCTCAGCCTGCTCAGTTCGGGTACTGAGGAGATGCCCCGCCTTCTGCAGAGCCTGCACCGTACTGAGAGCCGCGCTTTCCTTATGCCAGCAGCTGCTTGAGTCAGTGAGAGGCAGCCCCGGAGCCTCCGTGCCGCTTCAATGACGGCCCAGCCTGCACGGCATCAGAGGGCCCGGGGGGCAATTGCAGACCACCAATAATTTCTTGTGGACCACCAGTTGGCGACTGCTGCTATACAGTGTTTAGGAAATGAGGGACATACCATTACTGCAGTGGAGGGGGGAGACAGGCTGCAAGGATCGGGTGAGTAGGCAAAAACTAGCAGCTACCCTTGCAGTGAGAGGGTAGCCACACTGCAAGGGTTAATAAAATGTGCGCCTGGAGTTCTGCTTTAATGCAACACAAATTGGTGAAGACTACACTATTATGTGGCCCTCTGGACTTCCACTTGGGGCACCTCATATTCACTTGGCTGACCACCTATGTTCTAGCTCCCTGCTGCTCTAGTCTGACCTGGAGTTGGCCTTTAACCCCCTCAGTTCTGTAAGGTCAGCTTTGAACGACTTATGGCTTCCAATGTGACCAGAACTATCAGCATCAGTCTGAGGCTGGCAGCACATGCTAGAACTTTCCTGAGGATGAAGAACCCTCCCAGAGCATGCTGGGAGTCGTAGTTCTATAGGCTTACGAGGTGCCAGCTTGCAGCGTGCCCCCCTCACACAGGTACCGCCCACCCGCCCGTGAGCTCAGCACCATTTACAGCGACACACGTGACACCCCCTCCTCCCCCCCGCTGTCTACTCACTGCTCTGCGGGATCGCTACTTCCGCGCGCGCTCCTGAGCTCCCTGCGGGGACGCGCACCGACGCGAGCCCCGTCTCACCTCACCAGCACAGCGTTAGCCCCGCCTTCTCCTTCCAAGCTGACGCCTTCCCTGCTTACCCAGCATGCAGTGCGGTCGCGGACAGCGACGGCGGCTGTAGTAGTAGCAGCGGGCGGCGGCCATGTTGTGATGCGGTGATACCTGTTTTCCCTGCCCCGTGTGGAGCGTAAACCCCCCGCCGACGACGGACCTCGACCCGTCCATGTGAGAGCGGAGAGCCCGGAGCAGCATGGCCGCCATGCTAGGAGGTATCAGAGGCAATGGAGTGTGATAGTAGGGCGCAGGCCGCGGCGTCATTGTCATAAAGAGACCGGGGTGCCATTATACACACCGGAAGGCTTGCAGGAGGACACAGAGGTTGTATTCCCCTGTGTATAGGTGATCAGTGAATAGTTTAGGACTGGCCGTGTGTAGAAATGTGATCATACACCCTATAGACACACAATATGACCCCTTAAATGGACTGCGGCCTGCAAGGCTCCGGGTACACATATATAGATATGTATATCTATATGTATAGATATAAATATCTATATATGTGTGTGTCAGGCCTGTGTGAGCACCGGCATATCACTGTGTACCCAGATCACATCTGGAACTAAGGCCCGATAACTGACATCTCATATAACACTAGTCAGTTCTCAATAGTTTTAAAGCAGAACAGCCGGTACATTTGTTATTAAATCTGCAATGTAAATATGAGATTAATCCTATCCCCGAGGAACCAATACCCAATAGGGTGCGTTATCGCTGTGCCTATGTTAGTCACATTTGCATGCATGTGTTTATGCATGTTTGCTGTACATCCCCATTGAGTTCAATGGGGCCTCAACATGCAGCAAAAAAGCTCATGTAACAAATTTTGTGACGTGTTCTGCGTTTGTGAGCCCTGATGCGTGCAAAAACGCACATCTTCCTGCCTGTGTTTGGGGTGTTATTAGAAATCAATGAAAACACAAGCACATTTTGCCACATTTCTGTCAATGTGTGCATTCTCAGGAAGCACAAGTGTGAATGCAGCCTAAACGAAACATAAGCATTATATGTATACAGCGTTCGGACAACTTCAAACACAAGGATGTAGATGCCAGCAAAGATCCTGTGTTTTATGTTGTAAATAAAGTACTCCTGTGTGTCTGAGATCTACAAGAAGAATTTTACCCAAATCTTCAAAATAACAACAAACACACCTTTAGAAATGTTTACTAATGACAATCTACAAACAGATACTTCTAGATAATTGCCGGATTTGTATTCTTTACATTATTTTTCTTTTCCTCTCCATTCTTCTCACAGTGGCCATTTTTATTGAGGGCAGATTAATACATCTCTCTTTACTTCCTGGAACTCAGGCACATGTGACTAGGACATGTGACCATGCACCATCTCAGGGGAGTAAAATGCCTTTCCCTGAGATCTCATGAGATTTTCCAGCAATGCTCTGCTGATGTAACCTTTTCAGGATGTAACACTTGGGCACATTACATCATTTGTGCCAAAGAGGACCAGGAAGTTGAAATAAGAAATTGCAAGTCAAATTAAAGTATGTTTGTTTAATTAATGTAAGATGATTTCATATCAGCGTGCAGAGCTACATAATTATGTGATTTTTAGCCAAAGGAGGTAAAGGTCAGCTTTAAAGGAGAACTATGGGGTTAAGGCTTTTCCCCATAGTTCTTCTTAGGGTAACGGGAGGACACAAACTAGCGTCCTCCCATCACCCTAAGCTCAGTATACCGCGAGCTATCGCAGTATACTGAGACGCCGCAGCTGAAGCGGATCCCGACAATTATGTCTGGATCCGCCCAGCTGCGTGAGTGACAGCTGGCTCTGCCTATCTGGAGGCAGAGCCAGCTGTACCCGCACCCTCCCCCCGTCCGATCCGCCAGTCAGCGCTGCCGGATCGGAGTGGGGAGGGGGGAATCCAGCCCCTCCCCTGTCACGGCTCTCTGGTGAGCGAACGTCTCTGTGTTCGCTCACTTCCCGATCTACTGAGCCCACCTGTGACAGTCTCATTGTCACAGGTCGGCTAGAACTATGAGGTGAGTGAAAAGCACTCACCTCATAGTTCTCCTTTAAGCATATCTAAACCCCAAAGCAAGAATATCATATATTGCAGCTCACCAGTCATTGGATGTCATTAGATGTTGTGGCTGTTAGTTTTCTATTTAGGAGCAGCAATGGAGCTACGTCTAGAGAGCAGCATTGTCACTAGAAGATTTTGACATGACATAAAAAGAGGTGCACCGATACCGGCATTACGGTATCGAGTACGGATGTTTTTTTTCCGGTACTTACCGATACCGGAAGTCCCATTAAGGAAGCCAGGTGGCTTTTAATGACTCACCACCTGGCTTCCTGATTAGCAGGGAAGCCGCCCCCATGCTCCTCGTCACTAGGTGACAAGAAAGCATGGAGCCGGCTTTCTGGCCAATCGGGAAGCTGGGTGTCGTGCAATGACGCGTCGCCCGGCTTCCTGATTGGCTGGCTCCCTACTCCCTCGTCATGAGATGACGAAGGAGCAGGAAGCCGGCTTCCCGGCCAATCAGGAAGCCGGGTGCCGCGTCATTACATGACGCCCGACTTTCTGACTGGCCATCTTCCCGACCAGTCAGGAAGCCGGGCAGCGTTTCATTACACAGAAGTGACGAGGGGGCATGGAGCCGGCTTCCTGGCCAATCAAGAAGCTGGGCAGCATGTAATGACACGCTGCCCGGCTTCCTGATACCGGAAGTATCGGGCTAGGCATCGGAGCATTTGGGCGAGTACTCGCCCAAATACTCGGTATTGGTGCATCCCTAGACTTAAATAACAAATTAAATCCAAACTTAATTTAATGTGACACTAACCTCCGGAGTTAAAATGCATTCAAGAACCTTAACTATTAAAAATATTGTATCTTATTTGTGTATCATTTGGCTGTAGATCCTCAAGTCATCTCTGAATTGGTGCGGACACTGTCCTTCCTTCCTGAAGGGGGCCACTTTTGTTCCCCATGGTCCCTGTGTGTGTTTTTAAAGTAGTCACCGCTCCAAGCTCACTCATGTGATGGACTAAAACTTTAATACAAATGAGTAAACTGAACGTGAGATTGTAGTGGCAGAATGGCTTTACTATGCAGTCTCAGTGTAAATATGAAATAAATGACAGCAATATGTAAAGCAGCATATTCCCTTTGAGACTTCGCTTGTTTTTACACTGTAGATTAATAAAATAAAAAAAACTTTAAATCTATTCATTAAAGAACAACTCGGGGGATAAGGTCGTTAACCCTTGCAACTGGGCTACCCCTGCACTGCGAGGGTTAACTGCTCCTATGTTTCTAGGTGCTAAAAAAAACAAGTTATACTCACACAATCATTCCATTCAAGCCGGCTAGTAATTAGACAGGTCCCTAAAGCCTCTCTCCCCCCTCCTCTGCAGCAGTTTAATAATCCTTGTGTCATCACATTCTATATAAGTGTAGAGATTAGAGCTGCAGCTAACGATTATTTTCAAAATCGATTAGCCGATTATTAAGTTCGATTAATCGGATAAAAAATAAAATACATTTTTAAAAATGGCTCCAGTGATGGGACTACTAGTTTGTATTGAGATTGCAGTCCATCACAGGAGCAAGCTTGGAGCGGTGGAAGTAAAAAAGAAAAAAAAAGTGTGGTGTGCAATATAGTGAAATGGAAAGTGTAAAATTATACAGCAATGAATGCAGAATGGCACCAGCTATAGAGTACAACAAATCCCAGCATTGCTCTGTATAATGTACTATTGCTGGGATTTGTTGTACTCTATAGCTGGTGGTATTCCGCATTGCGCTGTGTAATGTATTATTGCTGGGATTTGTAGTCCTCTATACAATGTATATAATGTATTCCTGGGATTTGTATTCCTCTATAGCTGATGGTACATTGTGCTGTATATAGCTGATGGTACATTGTGCTGTATATAGCTGATGGTACATTGTGCTGTATATAGCTGATGGTACATTGTGCTGTATAACATACAGCACAATGTACCATCAGCTATAGAGGAATGCAAATCCCAGCAAAACATTATAGAGCACCATGTGTGGGAAAGTGCAGGCTTACCTGAGCAGTCTTCCCGCAACTTGCTTCTCAGATCAGGCCTCTCTATTGGCGTCTGTCATCCCCCCACATCTGCTCTTCCTTACGCGTCCCTGTGCCGATTGTGCATGTGGGCGGGCGGTGAGCGTGAGGTGCGGCGTGTGGATGCGGGCTTTCGAGGGGGTCTGGCAGCGGCGAGCGTGAGGTGGGGGGGAGGTGCAGCGCGCAGCGTGTGTGGAGCCATGAGCAGGGCCAACTAATCGTAAGCCGATTAATTGATGATTGAAAACGTTGACAACTTTTTCAATCGATTAGAATCGATTTAGTTGTTGCAGCCCTAGTAGAGATGTGAGGACGCTGAGGAACATTCCATCAGTGAACGGAGAACCAGGGAGTCGGCTCGGCAGTTCGGGTGAGTATACCTTTTCTTTATTTTAAAAGCAAATATACAATATCGAGCAGTTAACTCTTGCAATGTGGGGGGAGACGCACTGCAAGGGTTAATAGCATTTTTCCCTCATACCCTAAGGAGAACTATGGGGAAAAACACTGACCCCATAGTTCTCCTTTAAAATAACTCCTAGCGATCCTGCTATGAAGGTCCTTGTTAAGGCACTTCCTGTTATGGGTGAGAATGCTTTATTTCTGTCTCCCAACGGAGACAGTAAGCAAACATGTCAATGTTCAATGCACACGCATGGTCCAATGTTGCCATCATCGGGGAATCCACTCTGAGAAATGACATGCAGCTGAAGTTCGTGTAGACAGGAAGCAGCCATGAGATCAGGAGCACTAAGGTGTAAAGTGAATGAAAAGTTTAGGTATTAAACCCTTCTTCTAAAATTACAAAGTTATAAACGCCCGAACCACGATTCTGGCTAGATCTTAGGCTGGTTCCTTCAGCCTTGCTCCCTCTCCGCTCCAGTGTATACAGTGTATAGAACATGAGGATGCTGAGGGACATACCATCACTGGAATGGAGCAAGAGACAGGCTGAAGGAACCAGCCGGCTTAGCGGTTCAGGTGAGTATAACTTTATTTTAGCTCCCTAGATGAAACGAGCAGTTAACCCTTACAGTGCAGGGGTAGCTCCACTGCAAGTGTTAAGATTTGGTAAGCCTGGAGTTCTGCTTTAAAGATGAACTTACCAGTAAATATTAAACAAGGACCAGCTATTATAGGTTATG